TATGCTCAGTGTACTCTGCATCAACAACAAATTAAGTTGTAAATAAGAGACAATCATCACTTTTGTTTTTAAGCAGCTTCTGCATGGAGAATTTCAATGTACTGTTTCTTTTTGACAGAAAGAAAGGGATTCTACACTCTGCTTATGTAAGCACAAATATGAGGAAACCAACCGAAATGAAACAATAAGGGAGCACTTGAGAACTGCTCCAAAATGTTCTTGGAAGTACACTTCTACCACCACAGAAATCTCCTTTTTTAATAGGATGTGTATAATGAAAACTGTTTAATTTACTGTAATGATTATTCTTATGTTGCTCTAAAAATCCAGTATTTTTTTATTTTTAATTTAAAAATGTCCCCCTTCCTTGTCTAGGCACAAGCAGGGTACACCTCAACAGGAAGAACAAGTGAATAACGCCAGCCATAACCTTTGTGTACCCAGAAATATTATTAATCCCTAATATGATAACATGATACTATTTCATGTGCAAATATAGCATGCAGTAAGGAGAAAGGTGTGAAAGAGGTTTTCTTACCTTTACGTCTGAGAAGTAGGTTTTCAGCATATTGGAACTTGGGTACCGGGTGTAAAAGAACATGAGCTTGGCCTTTTTCAAGTGATTCGGTGACAAGCCTTCCTGCATGTAGGATTGAATTAGTAAAGGAAAACGCTTTTCTTGAGAAAGCTGTTTCTGAATGTACAGAGCCAGCAAAGTGCCCCCTTAAATACTCTCCAGTTCCCCAGACTAGAGGAGAAAACATTAACATTTAAATTGCTGCGCTGTAATTTTCTGTAAAACAGCTAAACGAGGGATGTAACTTAAACCCTGTATTTCTACCAGTTTTGGTGCCGGGTCTGAGGAATCTTGCAAGTTTATGGCTTGTATACCATATGTATGTTCACTTGTTGCTAAGGAAACAAATGCACGAAGCATGTGCCGTAGAAAACTTATCAGAAGCTTTTTCTCCTTCTCGTTTGCAATTCCAGCTACAGTTTATTTTTCTCTCAGTGTTGTGTGACTTGCACAAAATTAAACTAATGCATGTAAGACAATGAGAGATACTTTATCATTTTGAGCAATGTTTTATACAGGCAGTACACTTCATCTGTTTCATTCGTGTCGATAAATTTTAACATCTTGAGTAACTCTTTCTAATCCTGCTGTTGCTTTGCTCCAGTGGCTGCCTTGCAAATCAAAGTGAAATTTGTAATAGGCAGATCCTCTCTGCCGCTCAATCCCCCCGCCACAAACTTCTCGCCTCCTGATTTACACAGTTAACTCCTCGGAGAACGAAGCTGTATTTGGGGCTAACCAATCGATAAATGTGGGCTAGCAGATCAATAAATGGCCACTTACCCTATAAGGCAGCCTATTTATCCTGGAAACATCATTACCTTTTAGATCTGTAAACAGAAGCAACTAAAAGAGTTCCCAAGGGAATGTGAAGCTAACCATAACAATCTCAGCTTGCTGATTTTTCTCCCAGCTTCTTGGCTCTCTTTTGTGTACTGCATACTATGACGGTTCTGGTCACATCTGTGCCGCAGGCTGGCCCTGCCATTTCCTCAGCAAATTAATGGCTTTATAATTTATCAGAAATGAAGATGCACGTGGAGAAAATCAATGTGGCCCCCACAAGGTCAATTAAGGGTTCTGCCCAGAAGCTTCTCTAAGGACTGTTTCTCCTAAACACAATTGTTGAAAATTTCACTTGGTTCACACCTTATGGTGAGGGGAAGGTCAACCAAGTTGACAGATGTGCTGCAGCCAAGGTGCCTCTTCCACCTTACGGCCGGGCACACGTCAGCACAGAACATCTCATGCCGGCCCTCGAGACGGGAAACCCAGACCAATTTTTATCAGCAGGCTACTGATGATTAGCTAGGCTTTTTCAGCAGAATTCCTTTTTCTCTAATCTGTGAAATATACTGAAACCCTCTCCTTTTATTTCAGTTACAGCGCTCATTTTTAGGTTGGGAAAATGTATCATTTTTGAAAAAAAAGGCATTGACAATATTAGTTTAAAAACCTCTTATTATCTGGAAGTACATGGAAAACGGCTCAGCTGAACTTGCATTTTGTTTTAGATGCTTAATGATTACAAAGAAGATAATTTATGGCTGACATACTTCTTGTGCCAAGAGAAGAGTTGAAAGAACCTCCAGTTACCTCCATTAGACTGATAGAGAAGTCTAAAAGAGCATTACACTCTGCAGTGCCATCTGTCAAAATACGTAAGTGAAATAATAGTAGCAAGCTGTCACCTATTGCTTAGTGATAAGAGTTTTAGACAAATCAAAACTTCTACGCCAGAAATCCATTCTGTTATGCGATCCTTTCTGGAAAGTGGGGGTCCAAAGGGGAACTCCAACAAGAAAAAAAAAATCCTAAGTCTCCTTAATTTGCAATTCCTCTGACGCTGACAACATGTTAATATCGGGTTTGGCGTGTATTCTTTTTCAATGCAAGCTCAAAGATGGACTTAAACTTTCAAAAAAAGCTCTCATATTTGCTGGATTTAAGCATATTAGACAGTTGTCTAAGCATTTGGATTCCTTTCGCATTTAGGATTTTTAAATATTTTCTGCTCTAATGCCAGAGGATATTGATATTGAACGAAACATGTATTAAAAGATGTTCTGAGACTCCAATTCCCAGAAATCCATTTTTTATTAAAATTATACTTGTTCTTAAGCATTTGGCAGCCTTAAAGCGATATCAAATATCCAACAAATCTGTATATCTTGATCCTAAGGTTAATGCTTTACCGTGATAAAAGATATGATCTGTAATAATCTAGCAAAAAATAGTTAATGGCAGACTTAAGAGCTAAGAATTAGATAACCCATTGCTATTTCAGAAAAAAAACTGAACTGACCAATTGCTTAATTTCCTTTTTAAGTGCTTGGGCTGAAAAGCAACTGTTCTTCCAAGAAAGCACTAGCTGTTTCCAGGATACTTACACACGCACAATGACTCATGATGAAATAGATTCAGTAAACATACAGCTGTACTGAACACGAGCTAAGCCCCATTCAAGGCCAGGAAAGAAAACGAGCACAAATAAATATTAAGGAGGTAAAGGGAGGAGGGGTGCCGAATGGAACGCAAACAAGCTCTGTCCCAGCAGCTCGTGTGGCTTGCCTCAATTCTCTTAGCTATAGCTTTGTGAAGACAGATGACATTCAATTCTATGGGTAATGCAAAATAGACAATAACTGCTGAAACTTGAGCCAGCTGCCAGGTGTAAAAAAAGGAAAGAAAAAAAAAAGGAGAGAAAGAAAAGATGATAAATCCATAAATTAATGAAAGACATCTGCTCAGGAACACAAAAGATCAGAGGAACAGTGTACTGCAGCTGAACCTAAAGCAGTGTTCAAACAACCTGAGAGTCTCAGTGTTGTGCGTTTACACAGTACACTGTAGCCTCACCTAACGCAGCAGCAGCAAAAAGGCAAAACGCAAAGAAATAGGAAGTGAAAGACTGGGAAAGGAACATATACACGCTCTTATGTGTTTTAACTGGAGAAGCACAAGGGGTGGCACTGCATAGCATCTGACTCATTTGCACTTCAATCCTCCCAGGTAATGCTCCTCTTTTACAAAAATATTTTTCAGTGGAGATGATCTTTCACTCCTGTTACTCTCAGCCCGCGCTCCCACAAACGCTCTAACAGGCTTTTCTAGCCCACACATGTATTGAGCTGAAGGAAAAGAGGGAAGAATAGGCTGTATCAGGTAAAAAATCTGCACTAGAAAAGCCAAGCTGCTCCTTAAATTACACCTCAGGTGCTTTTAATCAGCAAAGCTCCAAATAGCTGTATCTCAGAGCATCTTCAAGACCCTCCAAAGAACGGACTGGCTGGAAAGTATTCGTTTGTCGCTCAGGTTTTATCAACAGCAGGGAGTTATCCAGCTTGCTGTACAATCACTCATTTTTTAAAAAGTTTAATTAGTTCAATTCTAGTCAGATGTAATAACTCCTTATTTCAAAATGTTGTAATTCACTAATTATAGCTTTCACATATTGGGACTGTGAAACTCATTCCAGTTGGATTAGAATTCTGTTTAAAAATAAATAAAATTGTACAAAGTTTCACTAATGTTTTAAAGCCCTCCTGCTAGGGAGAGCGTGCTGAACTTCTTCACCTTTACAGATGTCTTAACAGCACACAAACTACTGTCGTGCTTCGGTTTTGATCTATGCAAATATTTTGGGACTGAACAAGGCTATTTTTCTTGAGATGCAAAGAGGATGCATGACAAAGGAAGACCATGCAGAAAAACAATTCGCTGTCTGTTTCTTTTGGAATTTGAATAAAACTTAATATTTGATTAAACAGATTAGCTTGCAAAGATACAGACTGCATTCATGACCAAGATGCGAATTCATGCTGCAGGTGCATCTTATCTTGTTTAGCAACATACACAAACATTAACCATTTCCTTCTGCAATTCAGCTAAGAACAATCAGATACATTTTACAGGCACTGCTGAAAAAAAAAAAAAACAACCCAAAAACAAGCTCACAAAAAAAAAAAAAAAACAAAAAAACACAACCAAAAACCAGACTAGTTCAGTGTTTTAGCTTACTCCTAAAACCTGAGCTTGGCTGTATCTGCTAGTCTTATGTTCTTATCCTGTCTTAATTGTCCAGGAAAACAGATGTTGCTTACTGCAGGGAAGAAAGATCTGCTTCTCTCAAGAAATATATTCCCTATATGTGCACATTCAACCATGTAAAATAAAAGCACCATGAAAGAACTGACCACAAACGAATCAACCTCCATACTGTGCCTTTCCCTGGAAACTGTAAGCTAGCTACCTGGGCAAACAAGCCTCTGCTAGAAATAAACACCCATCCCCACAGCTGAGCCATATAGCAGGGTACACGTTGTGTACAAGCGCTATTTAATAAATCTGTTTGTCCCAACAGGTCTGTATCTGAACACAGATCAAACTGTAGCCTGCAATAGCGTCTAGGTGGAAAAGTCAGAGCACTTTCACAATGGCAAGGGAAGAGGTGAGGCACGGAAGGAGGAAGGGAATCACTCTAGCACTTGGCGTTTACCCTGGCTAAGCCTTGGAGCGATGGGGGACCCTCACACCCCTGTTTCGGCAGATGCAAAAAGCTCCACTGGCGATCGCCAGTGAGAACAGGTGAAAGGGGGAGAAATGGCATGGGGGAGGGGGGTGGAGAGGGTCAAGTGCAGCCCTAGAACTACTCCTAGCTCACACACTTGGCAATTTTTACCTCTGCTCACTCCTCTGCCAGGATGGAAGAACTACTTTTATACAAAAAAAATTAGTATGCCACTGTACTGTTTAGTAGAAATTAGTTAATTGCCCTGGCCTGAGTCTTGCCCTCAGCTGCCACTCCTGTTGACCTCAGGACTGATTTCCAAGCAGCACGGCTTGCATTTCAATATGCAGGAGAGATTTTCAGTTTGGATCCCCAAAAGTAACTGGCAGTAACTGAGAGTGATGATGGATTTAGACTGACTCCTCTGTTTTGCCATACAATGTATATGGTGAGAAGATTTTCCTGCTACTAATTAGAGCAGAGAGATCCTCTTTTGGGAAGGAGGTCCCTCAAACATCATGTCTACCACCAGCTGGCTCTCAAAAGCACCGACAGCTAAGGAAGGTGCGGTGCTTTCAAATCAGAAACACTTCCCCCTGTAGAAATGAGACTATTCATATGGGTCAGACAGCAGCAATTTTTGACTCAGACTTGACCTAAATAAGATCAAAGACTGGTGGCGATGGGGTCCAGCCTTTGCCCCAGTGGTGCCCACTGCCATGGGAGGGATGGGAAGTCCAGGTAACCAGCAGGACTCGAGCCGTGTGGTTAAATTAATGTAAAACCACCAGTTATTAATCACCGAGAAAATAACCAGTGATGGGGCACAGCCTTGGGCACCTGCTCTCATATGATAACCCTGGAAGGGGGACAAGTTCCTCAGCATCGCTAGCGTTACTCAAGGAGGGGCAGAGTTATTCAGTCACAATTACTTTCATCAATTTGGGAATGAAATTAGCTGCATCTAAGGTTTTGTGCTTGTACTGTTGCTTTCTGCTGGGGTCTTGGAGCTGGGAAAAAACATCAATCTACCCTTCACCCCAAATCCTCAATTTTAGCATTAGGCAGAGATGGTATTTTATTCATTTTTAAAGCAACTGTACTTGGAAGAAAAATCTTTTGACCAAAAAGCACATTAGGGGAAAAGATGGAAGGAGTGGGAGGTGTTATTGCTAAAAAAGAAAAAAAAAAAAAAAAAAGAAAATCTAGTGCTAGTTTCCAGGAAAAAAAATAAAAGATCATTACTATGTCTGGATATGCCTAAATAAAGGCAGAGATGGATTTTTTCCCCTAACTAAAGCCTGCTATTGAGCTAAAAAGAGAGATTTTATTATCATCTTTTTTTTTTTTAAGCAGGGGAAGTGTCCTGTAAATTTAATACAGCTGAAGTTTTATATTTAATTGTTCTCTCTAGCTTTCCAAAATAATTTGCTTTGTGTATGTTAGGACAAAAGATTTCTGTGTATGGCTGAACAGAGGTTAATCATGCATAGCAGGCAGCTGCACAAGGGCTGAGGAACAGACCTCTGGGTGGGGGAAAGAACTTGATGCAGCCTGAATATATCAGTACCTGTGTCTTTTGTGCTTCGTTTCCCTTACACACTTGAGAGTTGAAGGCTCATGAATGACCGGACCGTGGCTCTCTGCAAGCCCCAGCCACGACACCATTAGCACGGGTCGTGTGTTGGCTTGGCGGTGGGGGGAAAGGAGGTGGCTGTGGCTCGAATGGTTTTTGGCCGAGGGCAATGCCCTCTCAATCACCTCCCCTCCTGGGGAAGGACCCGGCGGCCCAGGGAAACCCACTGGTGCACGGGTTGTGGGCTTGGCTCACTTTCTGACGCCACTGGACAGTCTAAAAGGCTTGGGGAGGGCCGGTGGCTTTTTTATGGGAAACGCCGTTGCTGAAGGAGCGATGCGAGTCAACACCCGGCATTTTATTTGGCCCTGCCAAGCCCCCTGCCTGCTCCCCCACGAACTCCCCGCTCCCACAGTGCCCAGGGAGGCCCCAGGGCACGGGCATGGCCCCTCGTCTTCTCCCACCAGCCACTGCCGGGTTATCACTCGTCTTTCGAAAAGGATATTGCACTTCCCGAATAGGGGGAGATTTCGGACATGTCTTGCAGGTCGCCGCACTCAGACTTTATGAGGGACAAGGAGAGGCCCTCTGCGGCGCTGGGGGGGTGGGCTGGCGAGCAGGGGTGGTGGTTCATGTGGTGCGACGACATCTTGGTCCTCAGGCTGGTGGTCTCCCGGGTCAGGTCAAGGGATTCGGGGGAGGCGCGCTCTTTCCCCGGGAAGGAGGCCGACGGAGCGCCCAGCGGGCTCTGGAAGGGGTAGGCCATGAGGGGCAGCGGGAAGGGGTGGCGGAAGGAGGAGGTGGAGAAGCCGGCGGTGGCTGAGAGCGGGGACTGGT